GGAATCTCGACTCTCTCTCATTCACACACTATCTCCCACTTCCATTTCAAGTGACGTCTGTAGCCATGATGCTAAATTTTGAACTGTAACATTATCCGGCTGTGCCAGATGTGTGACTTTGTTGGCCGTTTGCTACCAAAGTTAAGATGGTTTAAAATGTTTTTGCCGCAAATAAAGTACCATGCGTTCAATTTATCTTTATAACATTTTAATTGGCGGTAACTTTCTCGGTTTTTGAGATATCAAGGTAAACAAACAAACAAAATGTAAGATTAATGGCCAAGTTTTTTTCAATGTAACGTATAAAACAAAAGACTATCAGTTTTCTGACATGTATATCACATATGTGTTTAATAGAACATCTTATTCCGATTACAATAGTGTAACACACTTTATATTTTAGTTCACTCGTTTTTGACAAATCGGCAAAAATAGGACATTTTTATATAATTATATAAAGAGTGCCATGACTGACAAATAAAAATGTGTTTATTATTTAACATATTAGTAAACAACTTTGATGGTTTTTAGCATTCGTGAAAGGAGTGAGATGGTTCAAGTATACTTTCTGAATAATAAAAGTGCAACCGTAGCTCGTCGTCAGTATATTAGACTTTATCCGGAGCGCCTTCAAAACAGATATTTCCAATGCTAGCAAAGAAATTTGCAGAAAACTGTAACGTATTAAATGCTAAAAATGTATACCGGAATCATAATGGTTTAAATGAAGAAAATTAGTCAAACGTATTAGGATTCTATGAAGCACATCCAGTTTCCTCTCTAGAGTATATGAAGGGACAGGTATTTTTCGGTGATCAACCCTACCAGCTTTGAAAAAATATAAATAATGGGTGTTTTTTTTTTCAATGTATAGAACTTTAAGTTGGCATAACTGTTCGAGATGGCGACCGATTTAACAGCTGTCAAGTGATTTATTCTCAGTTTGGTTTGGCAATTCATCATGAATAGACTCACGCCTGAACAACGCTTGCAAATAGTGCAATTTTATTTCGAAAATAATGGTTCTGTGTGGAATACGTATCGCGTACTACGTCGATTAACCATGGAACGTTTTCGCACCACTTTTACTCTTATTGATAACTCGCATCCCCAGAGACGCCGTACGGTTCGTACAGAAGAAACTATTGCTGCTCTAGAGCGTAGCATTGAGGAAGACCCGAATGAGTCCACCCACCATCGAACCCAGGAATTGGATCTGTGTTCATCCACTTTATGGAAGGATCTTGATTTACGTGCTTACAAAGTCCAACTCGTGCAAGAATTGAAGCCAAACGATCATCAAGTAAGGCGTAGATTCGTCGAATGGGCCCAAAACGAGATTGCCGTTGTTCCCGATTTTCATAAGCGAATTTTGTTTAGCGATGAAGCGCACTTCTGGTTGAATGGCTACGTCAACAAACAAAATTGCCGCATTTGGAGCGAAGCTAATCCTCAAGTGTATGTCGAAACACCGTTACATCCAGAAAAACTGACTGTTTGGTGCGCTTTATGGGCTGGTGGAATCATTGGTGCGTACTTCTTCAAAAACGATGATGGCCAGAACGTTACAGTCAATGGTGATCGGTATACAGCTATGATTACTAACTCTTTCATTCCTGAATTGAATAACCATGATGTCCAGGAGATGTGGTTTCAACAAGACGGCGCAACATGTCATACAGCTCGTGCCACAATCGATTTATTGAAAGACACGTTTGGTGACCGCCTAATTTCACGTTTTGGACCTGTGAATTGGCCTCCAAGATTTTGTGATTTAACACCGCTAGACTACTTTCTGTGGGGCTATGTAAAGTTATTGGTCTCTGCTTATAAGCCACAAACGCTTGACCATTTGGAAGACAACATTCGCCGTGTTATTGCCGATATACGGCCACAAATGTTGCAAAAAGTCATCGAAAATTGGACGTCCCGATTGGACACCATCCGCGCCAGCCGTGGGGGTCATATGCCAGAAATCATATTTAAAATGTAATGCCATAAGATTATCTTTCGGATAAATAAAATTCATGTCAATCGAATAATCCATCGTTGTTTTATTGCAACTTAAAGTTCTATATATCGAAAAAAAACATCCCTTATAATGCATTTAAATTTCGTAAAACTAAAAAACTAAGTTCAGAACAATGTCAAAGGAGGATGCAGTTTCGTTTGGATTTTTTAAATAGACAGAATGAGAATAATAATTTTATGAAAAAAATTTTTTGTACTGATGAAAGTTCGCTCACAACAAGAAAGGGTTGTAATAGACAAAATGCGCGATTTCATTCTTTAAATAATCCTAGACAAATACACGAAATAAAAACCCAGGTTTAGCAATCGATTAATGTATGGGATGGGCGTATTTTGGGTCCGATATTTATAGATCAATAGTTAACTGGAGATCATTATTTGTAACTCTTGGAGCACCAAATAGAACAATATATAGAAGATTTAACCCTAAATATATCAGCGCTGATTGTATGGCAGCAAGTTAAACATTTTCTTAACATGGAATATCCCAGCGGTTGGATAAGGAACGGTGGAACTATGGATTAGCCGACCAACAGCCCCGACTTAACCTTAATGGATTTTTCTTTTGAGGACACAAAAAATCACGTGCACAGAACTCCTTGTAATAGTGTCGTGGAACTTCAGCAAATGATTTCAGAGGTAATCAATCAATCAATCAATACAATTAGAATATTAGAGTGTATGAGAAATGTGTTCAAGAAAATGGTGGTGACATTTAAAATAGTTAAAGAATTTTCTACTTTAGTGTGTCTTGTCATTTATTTTTTACGTCAGTGTGTCTTGTCATTTTTAGTTTTTTTGTTCTGTGTTAATTTGTAAATAATCATTATTGTTGCAGTCAGTCATAAGTCATAATGAAATTATATAAAAATTTACTATTTTTGCTGATTTGTGAAAAACTAGTTAACTAAAATATCATTGTAATCGGAATAAGATATTCTAATTAAGCACACATATAATATACAGGGTGTTCCATTTAAAAAAATATGATGTAGGCTATATGTCAGAAAATCGATAGTGTTTTGTTTTATACGTCACTTGGAAATAAACTTGGCTACTACCCTTACATTTTGTTATTATGTTTACCTTGATATCTCTAAAAACAAAAATGTTACAGCCAATTAAAATGTTATCAAGTTAAATGGAACGCACGGTACTTTATTTCCAACAAAATCATCTTAGATCAACAATTTAATAATACATTATATCCCGAATTAAGTTTGGTAGCAAGGGGCTAAAAAAGTAACACATTAAAATATAAATTTAACACCCTGTATCTTGGAAACAATGCATTTCGGGATTTACATTTATGGGAACTTTTTTCATGAAGTGATCTGAGGAATCCGCAATTCCCGTCCCGATATTGCCACGTCTTTTTGAAACACACTGTATAATAATAATAACAATAATAATAATAATAATTGTAAAGGGAGATGACAGTTCCTCAGTTGACAAATAATGTTGTGATTTTTTATAATTTAATATTTGCATAATATATTTTTTGTATAATGTTTCATAAAAAATATCTAAAATCCAATTTTAAAGAAAATGTTGTATCTTTAATTTTGAATGTACTTGCTACAGGATTATAACGATACATATACGTGATAATGGTTGTTGTGTTATCTCCACTAATTAATCTTCAGTCACAATATCTAAATATTTCATAAGAACCAGACGACAATATTTTGAACTAATAATTGGTAGATTATCTAAGAAAAATATTTTAATCTATAGGAAAGTAGATATAGGGCAATGTGTTTTTATTTCAGTGCGGTGCTAATCGGCATTGTGGACTTACAAAATAGTTATCTCATATTACGTCAAAAGTTCTGACGATAAGAAAATATTTTCAATTCACGACCCCGTTTTAAATGACAGTAATTACCGCAACCCCAATCATATAATATACGTGGTGGGCCAAATTATAATGGAGAAACAGTCCAATCGGCAGATAAAAATATGTAAGAAAAGTCCATATAAACTTTTATCCTAAAATGCTTAATTTCCTATTTAAGAAAAATATCTTACCGTTTTTTTCATTATTTAAATTCAGTTTAATGATTTATTATTCATAACAATGTGATTTTAAATACACATATACAAATTATAGTTATTTAATAAATTATAACGGTCTGACGAGACAAAAACAAGTTTATCTATTCTATAAAATTGTCTTTAAATCGCGATAATACCCTACCAAGTTTGAAAGCAAAATTGAGAAGTTTTTTTTTTTAATGGGAAAAAGCGATTTTTTTCGAAATATTTCCGAAATTATGCATTTTGGGACATGAATTTATATGAAGTTTTTTACTTATTCGTATCTGCCGAAATTGACTTTCGGGAAAGTATCTACGCTCATGGCTAAACTCGATCGCTAAAAACGCTTTTTATTTCGAACTATCGAGTTGAAATTTGAAAGTTGAAAATGAAAATTTTTTTTCGCGATCAGAATTTTTGAAAAGGATATGTCCGATGGAAAAACTTCTTGAACTAGAAGATGCGCTAGATTGTGGGAAACCATCCAAAAATATAGTTTTTTTCAAAAATGTACAGGGTGTCCCAGGTATGGACAGAAATCTTAAAATTGCCATTTTGCGGAGTAAATCACTGGCCGTAACTGACGCGCAGTTTGGTTTAAACGTCTTTTTAGGCCACGTCGAGTCCTACGATTTTTGCATTTACCATTTTCCTATATGATATACGAGCTAAAAAGCGACTGGATGAAATTCAATATTACCTCGTAACTCAACTATCAACGCCATTCGGAAAATCTCGACTCGTTTGTGATTTTTCCACGGATTTCGTGAAAGTGCCTTCAAAAAAAAAAACAAAAACCAACATTGCTTGGAAAACAAAAATGCATTTAACTAATTTCTGAAAAAATAGAAAATTAAAAATATTGTACTACGGGGAACTGTGGAACTGTGACGAAAGGAAAATGTTGTAACATGCGTTTTCGGTTTCAGGAACAACGAGAAACGGAAGGAAAAATCTCGGGACGCCGCTCGATCGCGCCGTTCGCGCGAAACTGAAATTTTTAATGATCTGGGAAACGCCCTTCCGTTATGCTCCGAGCAGATCTCGCAGCTTGACAAGGCGTCCGTCATGAGACTGGCCATATCGTTTCTTAGGGTTAGAGACATGATTAAGTTAGGTAGGTATATACAGAGGTATTACTTTATTTATACATGGTAGTGACGCTGATTCTTGGTAGAAATGTGCCGTCAAGACTGTTTAATTTTGGTCATACGTCAACAGTAAGCCTGCTCCCACTAGGCCTACCTTTTATATTTCGAGATTTATAATAAAAAAACTATAAGCTACCAACAAATATGACTTTGTTGTTTCTCAAAATATTCACCCACATCGATTAGGGCACCTGGAAGACATTCTGGTGTCAAAAATCGTTGTCTACGTAATTTATTCTTTATGCGTGGGAATAGAAACAAGAGAGGGACGCATCGTCTTTATATCGTGCTCCTGCGGACCACTATGGAACCTTCGCAAAATCGATGTAATTTGATTGTGAATAGACCCTGTACGAAGTCGTCGAATTTCGTTTTTACTCGTAATTGCAATTTAAAATTATATTTTTTCTAATATCTTGCGATATCTTTCGATCTATATCGATCTTTATAGGCGAAACCGCAAACTCTCTCTCGGCACAGTTACGACACATCTTTAAAAGTTTTTCATGTATCGCCAATAATTCACCCACAAAAGCGGAAATTTCTAGGACCTATTAGAATTTTTTGCCCATAAACGACGTACCCTGTATATAATTCTAACAATGTTCGAAATAGAGGATATAGCCCTGGATCTCCTTAGTTTCGTGGTATCCGAATTTTTCCAATGGAGTAAATGGTTTTCAAAAAAGTACTTGACGTCATCGCGTCTAGATCTTCGCGATAGATTTTTGTCTATAACCTTCTATGTAATCGAAAAAATGCGTGTAACAAAAGTTATAGCGCCGGGCCGCCTGCGTATTACGGATATAAAATTTTTCCCATCGGATGAATGGCTTTGGAGGAAAAGCTGTTTTTTTGGATGGCAAAATAACTACAAAAAAAAATAAAAAAAAATACTTCGCGTTATTTCAGTGTTCCCAAGTCGGTAGCTGCGAATTTGGAGTACTTAATATGGTTTTTAATATTGCACGGAATATCGCGAACACCCTGTACAATACTTAAAAACCGTAAATACAAAAGTTTAAGCTGTCTATATAGACTATATCGTCATGTAAAACACAGATTTGAAGTTTTCAATACACATTTTTCAATTTTTTTGAATTTGCCTTGTATATTTTTCAAAATAAAGAATAAAAATTTATGGAGTCGTTTCCTCTGCGTCTTCTGGTTTAAGAATTTTTCCAGTCTTGTAAACGGTTTTTGAAAAATGGTCTTTTTTGTAGACCTTCACACACCCGATTTTGTTTTTTTTTTTATACTTCCGATTCCGATTCATCGATTTTCGAAAGTAACAAGTCATTAGGTGCTAAATCAGGACTATATAGTCAACGTTTTTAATGCTGAAAAAGTTCTTTGTTTGCACTGATCGGTGAGAGCTAGCATTGTCGTCGTGGAGTGTGATTCGTCTTCGGCGGTTGGTTTTTCTAATTTCTTCGAAGACTTTCGGCAAACAAATGGTTATGTACCATTCAGAATTGACAGTTTTACCTTGCACCAAAGAAACAGTTGCAACGTGGCCAGTTTTCCATTTGTTTCGAGGTGCTTCGCGCACCAACAACTTTTGTGGGCTTTGTCTCATTCTGAAAGACCCACACAGTCGACTGCTGCTTACTTTCATGGATCTATGCACACGATCCATGATTCATCACCTGTCACGATATCATTGACGTATTTGGAAGCACCGCGATCGTATTTTTTTAGCATTTTCTTCGACCACTCAACACGAGGCCCTTTTTGAGCTGATGTCAAATTGTGCGGAATCCAACGCGCACAAATTTTTTTAGCTGCCAAATGTTGATACAAAATTGTATGTACGCTGGTCCCACTAATGCCCAAAGATACCTTAATCTCATGGTAAATCCCATGACGATCCTGCAAAATCAGTTTCCGCACTGCATCAATGTTTTCTTGGACAACTAACCAAACTACGACCACGACTGAAGTCCGAAAACCAGCGATAAACAGTAGTCGAATTGGTCTGATCGATGCATTGTTGTTGAGTTAGTCCCCGTCTAAAGTTGTAAAAAATTATTGCACGGAAATGCGCCGGATTACGTTCCATTTTTAACAGTCGGATTTTTTAAATTCATCCCAAAAAACACAAACAACAAACACTCTTTCGGAAAATTTAATTGAGTAAACCTAGCCTCAAAATAGGGATATTCCGATACTAGTAAATACGAGTAGGTACTCGATACTTTTGAATCGATGCCAAGTATTTATAGTATCGAATTAATCTTGCAATACTTACTCGGTATCGAAACAAAAGTACTTGGTATCAAATCGAATCAGCCTCACCATTAAAAAAAAAACCGATGGTATCAGACAATGACATGATCTATGGTGACGCGTTGTCTCGCGCCAGCCAAGCCGAATTCGTCCGATTTCACTCGACCGAGCTCGAAACAAAAGCGAGAAAGACGTCCGCCCTTCATTTTTTTTTTTTCATTGTCAACCAACATAAATTGTCAAAGATACAAGAGAATGCTTACAAATAATTTTATTTATTGTAATCAACGGCTTATTATTCCAATGTTTTCATGGAGTTTTCTGTTTAAATTAGGTGCTTAACGTGACGCAAACCTTTATAATAAAAGTTTTCTTTTCCTTCTTAATTTTGTTTTAATTATTGTCCTTTAACGTTCATTAAAATAAATAAAAAAAAATGCTAAAAGTATCGATATGAGTAAGTATCGATACTTTAGGAGTATTTATTTGAGTAGTATCGAAAAAAGATTTCAGTACTATCGAAATGAGTAGGTACGATACTTTAATGGTATCGGAACATCCCTACCTCATGTCCTTCCTTATAAAAACGTTAGTCGCCAGATGGCGGGCCTAGTTTAAGAAAATCCCGAAATATAAAAGGCAGCGCTCTTACTAAGCACACTAGAGACGTGGGTTCAAATCCTACGTAGGACAATACTTTTTTTTTCTAAATTTCGTTCCCAAATGTTCATTTATACATCAATATTGAATTATAGATACTTTCCGTTAGTTGTTGGCAAAATTGATTCTTGAGAAATGAAAATGCTATCTCATTCCTTCTGTTTCTGTAATAGTCGTGGATAATAGCTACCAAGTAAGACAATGGGAAAAAGTGCTATACCAAATGACATGACTTTAAATAAGAAGCGATTTCAGAAAGCTATGCTGAAAAATGAGATGCTGTAGGAATGCTGAATAGGAATATGAGCATACAGTGCCTTCGTAAAAAATGAAACCCCACTTTTATTTTTTGTATAGAACGGTCAAATTTGAAAGGCACTTATATAATCAAATTGTCTAATTTTTGACATAAAAACAAAATCTGAAAATTCCAAAATGACAGCAGGGCGCCATTTTCGGTATTCGCATGCTAATTTCACCGAATTAACGAATGAATTTAGGTGCATTATTCAAGACCTGTTAGGGGATGGTTAAACGTTACCCCATTGAATGACCAGACCTAACGCCCCTGGACTTTTTTTTGGAAATATCTGAAAAATAAAATTTATGTTACCAAACCAAATTCAGTTGGAGATTTGAAGGACAAAGTTCAAAATGTTTACAGTGTGTTTCCCCTAGAAACTTTGCCTAATGTTAAGAACGAGCGAAGCTTGATTATTATTTATTAATGTGAACATTTAATACAATAGTTCGTAAAATGATGAAATTATTTTTTTTTTAATTTAAGCTAATGCTAAGAAATAAAAAAGTAATAATAAAACATTCATTAGATTGTCTTGCAATACCTGACGAATCAAATGTTTTCAATATTTGATATGCGAATAGAACGGGAGCAGACCTTTAAAAAGAGGTCTCGTGTGACTCCTCTTACCATTTAACAAAAAATACTCAAAATGACGCCCTGCTGTCATTTTATCAAATGTGAAATGTTACACATTTGAATTATATACGTTTGTGCCAAATTTCACTGTACAATATACTATATACTATATACTATACACTGTATACGGATGGAATGTGCGACAGGTCAAATCATACTTGAATTATTAGGAATTCTAATGGATCGCCTTGATCCACCGTAATTGTATAAATGACCGTGACGTGTCTGCTTGGCTAGTTTGCATGGAGTGTATTGGAAAACAGTGGTAGTCCACTTCTCTGTGAGGAGGATGCAAATTATATGCTTAGGAAACATTCGAATAAAAATACAATATCAGTGTGACAAAAATCGCATAGAACTGAACGTGGCAGAGGGACATATTGAAGATTTTGAACTACACATACGCAAATTGTAAAGGTGTAATGTAATAAAGAAAGTATTATATCGGAAGAAGGAAATTCCAAACTCTGAAAGTCAGTCCATTTTTGGAATTTAAAAAAATGCTTTCCTTTGTCATGTATTTAGGGAGTGGCAAAATGTACCTCTATTTCTTTTTTCGTATCTCGCCTAGCATTTTGAAAATGTACCATTTTCTGTTTTGTTTTCAGTGCCCGTATTACCCGTGAAAGACAAAATAACCAAATACGTGAAAGACGAGTCCGTGTTTCTAAAATCGTTGGAAGGATTCCTTCTGGTTTTGTCCGCCGACGGTGATTTTATATATCTGTCGGATAACGTCAGCGACTACCTCGGCATTACCCAGGTAAGAACATTTCCTCGTTTTGCCATCTTAACTAACGATATACACCGCAAACGGACATCTACATTCCCCAATTTTTTTCTGTGTTGTTATTGTTAACTAAATTGCTTAAAAATATGTTTTCTTCTGTAACTTTTTTAAGTTGGAATTTTTGAGAACTATTCATAATTTCTGAGAAACAAGTCAGAGTTTCTGAGAAACAACTCAGAACTTAATTTTCCAAAGAAACTGCCACAGTCTACCTAATACTATTTACAAAATCTCCTGCGTCGGTTGTTTATAGATCAAACGTTTCGCCAATCGCCCTGTTGGCTTCTTCAGCATCAGTGCCAGTTAAGCTCTGAAGAAGCAAGCAAGTTTGATTTATAAAAAACCGACGCAGGAGGAATCCAGAAGATTTGTAAATAATAAGTCAGAATTTCTGAGAAATAAGTAAGAATTTGTGAAAAACAAGTCAGAATTTCTCACATAAGTACTCTCGTTAGGGACATCGTGAATCGAAACATCACAGATATAAAGGCATTTCATAAATGATGGGCAATCTCTAAAACCACCAAACCTACTTGGTTCCTCAGAAATTCTGACATTTATCTGAAGTTCTGACTTATTGCGCACAAATTTGCCTAATTAAACTAAAACCTATATTTTATTTTTCGTGGCTTTCGTGCTCCAGAATACAAAACATATATTGTTCTGCATGCATTAAATTTTTTTTTTAATATTTTCCCCCGTGAAGCGTATTGTAAGTAATTGTTTTTTGTTTTGTATCTCCCAATTCGACTTTATCGTTAATAAATGAATATTTCTCATAAAATCACTTTTGGTCAAAATTGTAGGATAAATATCTGGTGTAAGCATTAATTAATATTCCTTTCACGGATTCAAATTTTGAAATACTTTCTAATGGTACGAGGTTAGCGCCAAAATTTCCCGGCCTGACATAGATGCAGCTCCAGTATCACGATAAAACTTTGTCTTCTTTTAAATATATATCTTAGTAGGCTGCGAAAAAAAAATTGAAGTCTTGCGTCAAATAGTTTTTTATTGACAGCATTTTAAACAATACGTGGCCGAAAAAATGTCGCAAATAAAGCAAATTGAGTATAGAGCAGTGATAAAGTTTTTGACAAAAGAAGGATTGGCACCTAAAGTTAAAGAAAGGCTGGATGGTGTGTACGGCCAAAGTTCTCCTTCGTATTCTGTAGTGAAAGAATTGGCAAAACGTTTTCGAATGGAGCAGGAGTCCCTTGAAGATGATTCAAGTACTGGTCGGCCAGTGGAGGTCATAACGGAAGATATTGTTGCGATTGTGGAAGAGGTGGTATTGAGTGATCGACGTTTAAGGGTCAAGGAAAACTCAGAAATTACTAAGCTTTCTGATACAAGTGTTGGTCGAATGATCATTTAGGTATGCATAAGGTTAGTGCAAGATGGCTTCCTAAAAACCTTTCGGCCATTCAAAAACAACGCTGTGTCTAGTGTACGCGGTCTTTTTTGGAACTCTGTGAGTCATAACCGAAACCTGTGACAGAAACTATTGTGACGGGAGATGAAACTATGGTTCTCTATTATGACGCTCTATCGAAAAAAGAATCAATGGAATGGCGTCGTAAGGGTGAAGCACCACCAAAAAAATTCAGAGTCTGCCAGTCAACAAAAAAGGTGATGGCCACGATCTTTTGGGATTGTGAAGGAATTCTTTTGATAGATTTTAAAGGAGCCAATACCACTGTTGATGGTAAATATTACGCAACATACGTGTAAAACGTCGAGGAAAACTGACCAGAGACGTGCGTCTTTTGCACGATAATGCACCTATGCGTACTGCTGGGGTTGCACAAGCTGCCATTTTAGAGTGTGGGTTCCAACAGTTAGATCATCCTCCCTATAGTCCAGATATGGCCCCCAGCGATTATTATTTGTTTGGATATTTGAAAAAGGACGGCGGTTTAACGACGAAGTTGAATTGAAAGAGGCTATTTTGGCTCATTTTGCAGACAAACCAAAAGAATATTTTTTTAAAGGGATTGAGTTGTTAACAAAGAGATGTAAGTGTATTGAAGTTAAAGGGGATTATATTGAAAAATAATAAAAAATTGTTACTCTACTTTTTTTCTTTCATATTCAGGCCGGGAAATTATGGCGCTGCCCTCGTATATAAAAAACAAAGCAAATCAATTTTTGGCTTAATGCGGATATAGGCTTGTTTTGCTTGAATTTTTAATTTGTTGGGTATATAGCACACACTGTCTAGCAAAGAAAACAGTACTTATCTGTATTTTTTTGTGACGGCCTTTTTTTTAAATATTTATTTTTATTCAATTTCTAGGCATAAGTTGGGTACTAGTTAATGTTCATTTTTAATTGTAATATTTCATATAAAGTCCACCGACTTGGAAATCTTCTAATTTTGAAAGAAATTTGTCTCCTAGTTACATTATTTGTAGTTCAAAATTGATATGGGTTTTAGCATTTTGAGGTGTCAAATAATTTGCAAAAGCAATTGTATGAACTTTTAACGAATTAATTAATTTTCAATTTTAAAAACAATATATTCCATAGCATTTAAAAAAATATATATTTTGATCTTTAATTAAATTGAAATTTGACATTATATATGCACATCTTGCCACAGTATATTCTTTAGTCAGATTTTCTAGATGTGTTTTTTTTTTTGTTAGATCGACCTCATGGGCCAGAACGTTTTTGAATACAGCCATCCCTGCGACCACGACGAAATAAGGGAAATTTTGACTAGCAAAACGACGCAGGATACCGACGCCCCCAAATCCGTATTTATTCGGTTAAAGTGTACGCTAACGACCAAGGGCCGGTCCGTGAACTTGAAGTCAGCTACGTACAAGGTAAAAAAAATGAAGTCTTTTCTCTTGTTCCAAAACCTACTAAAACAACTAACCAAAAATAAACCAAACTTACCTTAATTAATGTGGTGGTCATATTTCATATACCCAGGTTTTTTTCGGTATTTTTCAAATGGTAAGGTTATCCTCGCAGGAGTTGAGGAATTAATGTTAGTGAATTTTAAATCAAACATCCATTATTTATTATTATCTTTATTATTATTACGTATAACACAACCAATATCACTCTAGTAGCAACAAAACAGTGAACATTAATACAACAGGTCACTATAGTTAACTCACGCAATGAGTTTATATTGCAAATACAAACTGAAATCTGACCGCAATATACCACAGAAAAATTCATTTCTATATTTTTGTTTACGCAGGATTCTGACCTATTTAGACTCAATTTTCTCCTAGCAACAATTTTCTAATAGAAACATAAAAAATAAAGCTTGATAAAATGCAAGGAGAATCAATAAAATTAGTCATTACTCAAAAAACTACACTCAGATCCCTCAATTTTCTACGATTTTCCAACGTAACCAGCCCATAAAACACACCTAGTTCTCTAACATCTGAAAACCTATCTGGCCTATCCTATACCTCAGATATCTTAACAATTTGTTCAGTAGAGCCTCAATTCGGTATTGGCTTCATAAAAAGGAGACCATACTCCAATGTGGATCGCATATATGAACTGTACAACCTGCCAATACATTTCAAGTTTTGAAAATCACCAGACATTCCCTAAATGCCGATCAAGGCTTAAGGTTCCACGTTCTTTTCAACATCCACTCTGTTCAACGTGCTACACTAGAAGAGTGTGTGGGTTCGCAGTACATCACAATCTTCTTTTTTTAGATTATCTGCAAAAGGTAGGTAGATGAACTCCAACAGCCTCTCTCTATCCTTCACAAGGACAACAAATTATTTAGCTCCCAGATGGGACCTCTCAGGCATATCGGATATTAACATTTATTGTAGAGGAAAGGAACCCCTTCATTTTGACCCCCACACAATCTTGAGACTGCTGCTGTTAGGATTCAGACGGCCACCACTCTCATGTGAAACTATTGTTGTTAAGTTTTGTGCAATATGTTCAACATTCGCATTTCACACAATTGACTATGTTACTGTTTTCTAAATTAGGTGTTTGCCTTTTTGAGATGATAGAGTAAACAATAGTTGGCAGAGTGATATTGTTACTCTCCTCTGATTTCAGTGATTTTCATGTTAATTTTTTAGGTTATACACTGTACTGGTCACATGATTAAGGACAAGGCCGAGTGTAAAGATGACGACGATAAAAAGGGCAACATCCAAAGCTGTTTTATGGCCGTCGGACAGCCGATTCCGCATCCGTCTAATATTGACACTCCGTTACCTCGTCAGACTTTCCTTACCAAACACAGTTTGGACATGAAGTTCACGCACGCCGATGACGAGTTGTAAGTGCAAAATTACTAATATCTGAATCTTTTCAAAAGTCGAGAGAAACTTGCTTTTTGCCAAAGAAAAATGATCAGAAAGTTTTTAGCTTTTTTTGTTAAGCATCCTATCTAAAAAATACTATTGACAATGTTGAAAAAAAAAACATTTTTCGAACATAAACAAATTGAAAATAAAAGGAGAGTTGGCCCATAGTTGGGCAGTTAATGCTTTGGAAGTATGGGAGACCACATTTAAAAATTATTCGTTTTTTCAGTATGATGAATATACTCGGTTATACGTCGGAAGATCTCATCGGCAAATCCGTATACGAGTATCATCACGCCATGGACAGCGATTCCGTGGGCTCGGCGTACAAGTGTTGTAAGTATCCTATTTCGTCGGCGAATATTATGACCTAAGAGTCACACATACCTAATCGTGTACAACGTAATTGCTTTTATACTTATAATTCCTCCTACTTCTTCATAATTCCTCCGGATTTTCATAATTAGTCTGAAATTTCATAATTCCTTATCATTTTTCATAATTCTTCTGAAATTTTATAATTCCTAATCATTTTTCATAATTCTTCGCAGTTTTTCACGATTTATGGGAATTCTTCATAATTGCTGTGAATTCTTAATTCCTCTGAATTTCGAAGCAATAAACAAAATACCGACATAAAGTCAATGTAAAGTGAATTCATATACTGTCTTAGATACAAAATAATTAATTAGTTTTTAGTGTTTTTTAAAAACGGTACTTCATTATGTCGGCAATAACTGTTTTGATTGTTTCGTTGATCATTTTTATGTGGGAGAGGCCAAAGTTACTCCAAATTGAATAAGATCTTACAAATAATTTTTATTTTTAAAGAAATCTGGGACGCCTATTTGTTTTTCTTCCAAAAATATTCAGTCGAAACATCACTGGTAATAAAAATATCTCGAAACAGACCATGCTTTTTGAGGCCTGAATTCCTTGAAAATTCACTAAAGTTCCTTCATATTTCATACAAATTTTTCGTTCTGGATTTCTATCTTCGGAATGCCAAGGAATAAAAAATATTGAGAGTATTCTACTTCGTCCGTGAACATCCATGTTGACTTAAATGTAAACGGAAAACTTTAGAATGTACCACAGCTCCTTTAATTGCTCATAATCCTTTGGAATTCTTCATACTGCCTCGTAAGATTTTATTATTCTTCGAAATTCCTCGTATAATTGTTTGCAATTATTTATAATTCTTCTGGAATTCCACTGAACGCAGATCTAGAGTGTAATAGCTTTAATTTTTCGTATTTTTTTGGAACTCTGCTTCCTAATTCTTCATAATTCCTCTAAATTCTTAATAATTACCTGAGTTTCTTATAATTCTTTTTAATTCTTCATTATACCTCAAAATTGTTCGCGTGTCCTTGGGGCAATTCCTTTGAATTCTTCATAATCGTGTTGAAATATTCAGAATTCCTTCGAAATTCCTTGTTTTTTGAATAGTTATTACAGTTTAAGTATTTAAAGAAATTAATTACCTTATTATTATATTTTATATATGGCTATAATAATATGGCCACATAAAAAGCTTCGCCTAATTGTTCCCGCACTTATCTGCCATCTTGTTCCCCAAAAAAGGAAGAATAGATTTTTTTTTTCTATGAATGTACTTAAGAACTGTGCATGTTATGTGGATAATGTTTTATATAGGGGACGCGAAAAAAGTGAATTTTTGAAAGAAATGTATTAATAATAAAAAGATTGTTTTTTTGAATTGCATGTTTTTCAAATCCATTGACTAGGCCAACAAATTATCTGCAAAATGATTATCCGTTTTTTAAGAACTGAAAGATATTCTTTGTTGTTATAAAAAGTGCTGTTTATATATTCTGTGTAGCACTTATCAGCCTAAGAAATCTTAAGCAATTTGGTCTGAGTGTATGGACGGTACATAATATTTCTAAATTCTCTCCTCTTGAATCATTGCAGCAGATATTGTGTATTGTCATACGCCACCCATAACAATTTACGTGTTAGACGCTTATGAAGATTACCGTGGCTGGTTTTTATTCTAACCCACTATACAGAAACGTATTGTCAGGTGGCAAGGTAAAACAACTTAATGTGTTTGATATGTATTTCTTAGTGGCAAATAAACATCGTCGTGAAAATAACAATTAATGTTCAATATGTCCGCCGTTTTGCACTAGCCATTCCTCAATATCACGCTTTCTAGTTCAGCAGGATTTAATGAGTCCAAAGTTCTGCGTATTCGAACAATTAATTCAAGGACATTACTTGTGGGAGTGTTGTTTTTCTGTTGCCTAAAGATGTCGACTGTGTCTATAAAAAATACTTTCCCTTGTAAATTTGTACTCATCAGTCCAGAAATCTGTGTCCTCTTTTATAGGAATTCGGAATATCTCGTAAAATTGTGTACCCCCGCAAAATACTCTTGATTTGAATTTATAAGGGTATATACCTTGTTGTATTACATTCATTACGAATAAATTTAGAATTGTAGCAGGAAAATATGGATTATTTTGCATAATTTCTTAAGACAACAAACTTAACGTCATTGAACCTCCAGACCCCTTTTCTTGTAATTTTTGGTCAAGGAAATTCAATTGACTGACACCTGAAATTTTTACCTGATGAGTTAGAATAAAAGCCAGCCATAGTCAACCTCGTGTAATCTTTATAAGCCCGTCTAATACATAATTTGTTATGATTGCCGTATGACAATAGAGAATGTCTTTCATTTCTTAGAAAACGATAGATAATTTGTTTTCCTAGTCAAGAGAATTGAAAAATATGTAGGTATGCATTTAAGAATGACTTTTTATTACTGCAATATTTCTTTCAAAAGTGCACTTTTTCGGCGTCCCCTGTTTAACATATTTTCGATATTACATGCGCAGTTTTAAAGTACATTCATTAGCTATCACCTGTGAAAGTGTTAATTATATAATTCTTTTTTACGCCAAAATATCCCACGTTATCGAAACGGGTTTCTTCAAAAGGAAAACCGTATTTTATTTTTTTGCGAGCAAGATGACACATGAGCGTAGGAACAATGAGTGGAAGTTTAAATTTTTATTTCAATGTTGCCACCGATTTCGAGTAGGACCGGCAACATTGCGAACTTGCTAACGTTTCGCCAATCATCCTGTTAGCTTCTTCAGAGCTTAACTGCAACTGGCTCGCATTTTATTCATATATATGCTTATATATTGTTTGAGGGGGGGTGGAGCTAAATGATGGGCATGACTGATTCCCATATTGTTGACAGGTAAAGACCTGAGCCGCAATTAAGATTGGTAGGCTGCTTATAGATTTATATACACTATAGACAGTTTCAGTTCAGCTCTGAAGAAGTCAGCAGGATGATTGGTGAAACGTTAGCAAGTTCGACTCAACAAAAACCGACGCAGGAGGAATCCAGAAGTTTTGAAAAAGTATTACAGTTGCCTGCGGAAGTTTCTTTGAAGAATATCTATTTTGGTTCTCATATAACTTCGTAGGGCCAACTTGGATACTTTTACTGTATTCTTATATATTATGTATACTGTATACTGTATACTTGTATTACGTACAATGAACGAAATCGGTGTTGTAGGTACCTACAATTCAAATTGAATTAGTTAAATACCAAAATAGTATAAAAATTTAGAAATTCATTCAGTACGAAAAGAGAATACCTTTAAATTCCTTCGAATTCCACTGGAATTCCTCGGAATTCTTGAAAATTAATCCAAAGTGTAGGGTTAGTAGAATTCCACTGAAATTCCTTGATATTTCTCGAAATTCCTTTATACTGGACACAACAATTTCTCTGCGGTTTACCCCACGTCATTTAGATTGTTACTTTCGCCCTTACGTATCCGCTCCAGAGGTCGTTGAGAAGCAATGATTAAGAAGTAACTTAGCGGTGTAATAACGTAATTTTAATTTGCTTCGTTCCAAAGACGGAACATTAACATAAACATGTAACAATTAATGTATGTAATGATAATTCTTGGCCTTGTCGCGTCATTACAATTGGCGGGATCGTTCTTACTCCATATTCCCGCAGGAAAGTCGTCTTCTATTATGGTCGGAAAATTGTTCTGCTTTTCTATGTCGAAAAAAATGTCGTCCACCTCGAATCTTTCACCGATTCTGACCCAAACGGACGCGTTATCTGCAATATAAGACGTTAGAACTCTTTAGTTAAAGCTGGGCAACACTGTCGTCACTGGACCGGCAGGGGTGTTTCAGAACTCGGTACGAAAATTTTAAAGTCGTATTTATCAGTCAAGAATGAGTCAGTTCAGGGTCAATGCAGGGTGTCAATATTTAAAAAAAAATATATATTTTTTTATATTTTTTAATTAAAATGAGTGCTCTACTGATTTTTTGAACATTTTTTTTCTTTTTGGATCGTGCAATTAAAAATGAGACTTTTTTCTTCCATAACAATTAAAAATAAGTGCCCTGTATTTTCCAGAATGGTAGAATTTCCTTTTATTTTCTTTTGTTTCAGTGCAGCTAAACGAGAAAAAAGTAGAAGGGCAAAAAGTGTTAGTTTTGATTGTTCTATGTTAAAAAATTATAAAATCTTTAAAACATTAGTGGCGAATCACGAAATAACAATTAGAACACATGTATGTGATCAATAATCATACTTGTTTTTAATACATAAATATAAATGTAAATAAATAAAATACGTCTTTAAAATCTAAAATACGTCTAATATGTAATTTGCATTTTTTAACGAAATTTCGCAAAATTTTTTAGATACAATAATAATTTATATTTGTATCAGGGAAAATCATGGTGCGCTACTGGTTTTTTTAAGATTTAATAATTATTTTTAGATTAAATAATTAAAAATTAAAGTTTCTTGTTCCTTCCTTTTTTTGCATTTAACTTCGTCTTGAAGATAATCATTAAAAATAAATACCCGGTATTTTCTAAGTTTTGTTTATTTTTGTTTTTATTTTAAAGCGAAACTGGATACGAAAAAAATAGAAAGAAAAGATAGTTTAATAGTTAATAGTTAATATTTAAAAATGTCAGCGGCGTACAACATTTTTTTCCTATTAATATCAATACGTCCTTAAAATCTTTGCATTGAATTTACAAAATTTCGCTTAATTTTCTAGAAGATGCCAAGGTAATTAATGTAATTAATTTAAAAAAACCTTTTTTACCCAAAAACTTTTAACTGATTTTGACTGTCGTTCCCTTATTTGTCGTCGTAAGAGTTCTTATTTGGTGCGATTAAAATAAAATTGTTCATTCCGGTGGCGTCCCAGAGTGCGCTACTGATTTTTTGAGGATTTTATATTTTTTTCAGATCGAGCAATCAAAAATAGTACCTTTTGTTCCTTCCGTTTTTTTTG